GACCCCCTCTGCCTTGGCCCCGCCTCAGCGGGTTTCATCTGGAAGGTTGTCTGGAAGGACGTCTGGTCTAATTAGCATATTATGCTTTTATCATTATAGATAAAGAATCAAAAATAGAGCAATTTATTTAAAGAATAAAGGAAAGGCAATAAAGTTCTTGATAGTGAATAATATATTTAAATGACTGATTCACAAGGTAATTGCAGAACTCAGATAAAAATAGGAACATCTAGTATTATCTAGAGAGAAGCCAACAAATTAGGATGAATAATGATCTTTTAACTGAGATTGAGTTGGAATTTCATAAAGATAGCTTTTAAATGAACATATGAAAAGGTTTTCCTGGATATTGAAATATGATGACTATTCTGATATTTGAGGTCTAAAGCTCATTACCTTTTGGACAAAAATTCTGCTTCTGCAGAGACTATGATTAGTTTTAATAGTTTTTGTTTTATTTTGTTTTGTTTTGCATTAATCCATTATCTCTTCTTTACTTCCACTCTCTAGAATCTATTATTAGTCAATCTATTTCAAGTGTTTGTTTGGAAAGTCAGTGACATTCAGGAAAAAGTAACCACATATTGCCAGGTGTCAGGTAGCTATGTGTCACACCTCATAAAAACAGCTGAGTACTCAACCAAAGCAGACACTGATTCAGCAGCACTGTCAGATGGCATTGTTCCTGAAATATCAAAGGACAAGCAGTAAGTGACATTTGGGGAAAGAAAAGAAATTCATGTAGGTTACCATACATTTGACTCTTGCCTCAAGAAAAAAATTAAATATTAAATGTATATATTGAATTGACAGCACATACTAGAGTGGTGTGTGTGTGTGTGTGTGTGTGTGTGTGTGTGTGTGTTTAAATCAAACGCTATGCTTCTAGTAGATCTAGTAGATCAAAACTTTCTCCCAGAAACATGTCTTACTTTTCAAAAGTGGACAGTCCTGGAAAGAATCTCTTCTCAGCCCCTAACTCACCGAGAGATGCAAATCAAAATGACAATGTCACACCTGTCAGAATGGCTATCATCAACAAATGACAAGTGCTGGCGAGGATGTGGAGAAAAAGGAACCTTCATGCACTGCTGGTGAGAACGCAGACTGGTGCAGCCACTGTGGAAGACAGTATGGAATTTCATCAAAAAATAAAAAATGGAACTTCTATTTGACTCAGTGATCCCACTTCTAGGAATATATCCCAAGAAACTAGAGACACCAATCAGAAAGGACATATGCACCCTTACGTTCACAGCAGCACAATTTGCAATAGCTAAGATTTGGAATCAGCCCAAGTGCCCATCAGCAGATGAGTGGATTAAAAAATGGTGGTACATCTACACAATGGAATGCTACACTGCTGTAAAAAAGAAAGAACTCATCATTTGCAACAGCATGGATGGGACATGGAGAACATTATGCTAAGTGAAATAAGCCAGTCAGAAAAAAGATAAATATCACATGATCTCACTTCATGTGGTGGAATATAATGAACAACATAAACAGATGAAAAAACAGACCCAGAGACAGAGAAGCATCATTACAGAGGGAAGGCAGGGAGTGGGGGTAAGAGATCAACCAAAGGACTTGTATGCATGCATATAAGCATAACTAATGGACATAGACACTAGGGGGGTGATGGCATGTGCTGTGGGGTGGGAGTGGCTGGGGAGAGATCAGTGGGGGAAAAGGAGATATATGTAATACTATATGTAATATTTTAAACAATAACGAATTTAAAAAATAAAAAAAGAAACATGTGTCTTGCTCTACAAAAATAGCCTCACATTATCCTAAAGATTTTGACTAATTAATATTACATTCATAAAATATGAAAGGGCTGGTTTCTCTGTCTTCTTTTTAAGTGAACTAATATCCATTTTGGGTTCTTTCTAATTTTAACTTTTTTTTTCAGTCAGTCATGGCAGAATAGTAGGGTTGATTCTCAGTAATCATTAATCCATTCATTTAATAAGAATCTTTGAATGAGAGGTAATATATTATAGTGATTAAAAACATGAAGGTAGACATTAATCTATTTTAACTCCATTATTTATCAGTTCTATACAATGTTTCCATGGATTTCCTCAAATGTAGTTTAAAGATAACAGTGCTATGAGGTTCCTGTATTAATTGAGATGACCTAGGTATCAAATCTTCTCTGAAAAGGTTTGCTCAATGTATTTAGTAAATATTATATATTTAAAGCTATAACATTTATACCTGGAAGATAATCAGATCTATCAATATACAGATAAAACCACAGGCTTTAAAAATCCATTTTTAAAATAAAATGATTTTATTTAATAATTATTTGTTTTAAGTTAGCCACAAATAAATTTTAAAGGAGACTTGCTGCTCTGAGGAATTAACTTCATTTTGTGCAACCTGACAGCTATCATCAGTTTCATGTCAGCATTTTGTTTTCTACAGTGAACACCAATCAGAATCATTAAACTTCTGTTATGACAACTTTATTATACATTTCTGCCACTCAAGACCATTGCAATTGTCAAACCATTCCTTTAGTGCCATTTGCCTATGATATTTGTAAGTCTAATTGGTCACATTGAGGTAGTTCTTATTTGTTATTATTTTAAAAAATGTATTTGTTATTGAATTTAGAGAGGAAGGGAGAGGGAGAGAGGGAGAGATAGAAACATCAATGATGAGAGAATCATTGATTTGCTGCCTCCTGCACAGCCCGCTCTGGGGATCAAGCCCGAAAGCCAGGCATGTACCCCAAACAGAATAGAACCTGCCACCTCCTGGATCCTGGGTCGACACTCAACCCCTGACTCACACCCAGCAGGGCAGTTTATATTTTTGAACTATCTAACATGTAATGAAATTTGAACATGAACAGGAAAAGCATTAATAATTAGGCTGTACTATTTATTTTACCTACACTTACAAAATACATTTCTATGGTGTGTTGCCAATAAAGTGGCCTTTAAAAAAAAAATCAATGCATTAATAATTAGGCTGTACTATCTATTTTACCCACAGGGTGGCCAGCCTCTCAGGGAGAGTATGATGTGCTCTACCTGGGGACAGAGGATGGACACCTCCACAGAGCTGTGCGGACTGGAGCCAAGCTCAGCGTCCTTGAGGATCTGGCCTTATTCCCAGAGCCACAGCCAGTTGAGAATATGAAATTGTATCAAAGCTGGCTCCTGGTTGGCTCCCGTCCTGAGGTAACACAAATGAACACAACCAACTGTGGACGTCTCCAGAGCTGCCCAGAGTGCCTCCTGGCCCAAGACGCTGTCTGTGCCTGGAGCTTCCGGCTAGCTGTGTGTGTGGCCCATGCTGGGGAGCATGGAGGGCTGGTCCAAGACATAGAGTCAGCGGATGTCTCTTCTTTGTGTCCTAAAGAGCCTGGAGAACTCCCAGTAGTGTTTGAAGTTCCTGTGGCTACAGCTGCGCATGTGGTCTTGCCATGTTCCCCAAGCTCAGCCTGGGCATCCTGTGTGTGGCACCAGCCCAGTGGAGTGACTGCTTTTACCCCCCGGAGGGATGGGTTAGAGGTGGTGGTAACCCCAGGGGCCATGGGTGCGTACGCTTGTGAATGTCAAGAGGGTGGGGCAGCCCATGTGGTAGCAGCTGATAGCTTGGTATGGGGCAGCCAGCAGGGCCCCTCAAGCTGGGCCCACACTGTGGGGGCTGGACTGGCTGGCTTCTTTCTGGGGGTTCTTGCAGCATCCCTGACTCTCCTCCTGATTGGTCGACGTCAGCAGCAACAGTAACAGAGGGAACTTCTGGCTAGAGACAACGTGGGCTCGGACCTGGGGGCACCGCCATCTGGGACCACAAGCTACTGCCAGGATCCTCCCTCTCCCTCTCCCTCTCCTGAAGATGAGCGGCTGCCCCTGGCTCTAGGCAAGAGGGGCAGTGGCTTTGGTGGCTTCCCTCTACCTTTTCTGCTTGACTCTTGCCCAAGCCCAGCCCATATTCGGTTAACTGGGGCTGCTCTGGCCACATGTGATGAAACATCCACCTAGGGCTGGGCAAATGATCACTAGTGCATGACTGGCCACTGGAATGGAGTGACCATTGGGGTGTTGGGGTCCCTGGGCCTGGAAGTCCATCATGGCCTCTGAGTTCTCTTTGAAAAAATAAAAATAAAAAACATCAACAACAAAAAACAGTGCTCATAAATGATCTCTGTCACCATACCCAATTAAGAATGTCACTGCAGTAGGGAACATTTGTTGGTCTGCCTGTCTAGTATTCTTTCTCTTTTCTGGGGTAACTACACAGTTTTCTCTCATGTGATCTGGTTTGGACTATCTCACCTAGCACTCCTTCCCTACTTCAGAGTGGCCACATGGCCAAGGCGGGCCCAGGGCTGGTCACATGACTCAAACAGGAGCCATAAGAATCTTCACTGAAACTGATCTAGAGATATTAAGATGTTTCCCAGGAAGGTTCTACCTGGCAGGATGTAAATCTAACAGCAATCTTCTTCCCTGATTTAGAAAAAGAAACTATCTCTACAATGAAATCAACACACAAGTAAAAGCAGGAATGTAGACAGAAAGAATTTGATTAGACTATAAATCTTGCACACCTGAGACATATTTCTTCAATCCCAGTAATGTGTGCCAGTGAATATTTTGTATTTATTTTCCTTAGCTAGTTTGATTTGTGCTTTTATCCCTTAGAACTTAGTGACTCCTACTACAATTTGTATCCTTAAATATGGTAGGGATACCAAATTCTCCAGCAAACTCATCAGTAATATTTTAGCTTCATCAATAAAGGGTAACTATCTTGGAAAAGTTTTAGGAACAACGTTTATATCCTTAATTTTGTGAATTATAAATAAAATATGTATATTATCCTCAGTGTTTAACGAGTTTCCTGTTGTTCCTAATTTTGTCCTTGGGGTGCCCTATTTTGTTCTGTTTAAAGTAACCAGTTGCTACCTTAGTGTTTTTGTTGTCTGTCTCTGAAAGTGTTTTGTTTTGCTTCAAAACTAAATTCTTCAGTACTTTCTTCCTCTGCTTAGCTCCCTTCATGTGTAACTTCTAGGTCTTCTCATTCCCATGAAATCCTTAAGTCAGGTTAGACAGAACTGCATTATGCTCATGGGAGAAGGGGAGGAGGGAACCAGTTAGTCTCAGTTGCAGCAGGGGAGAATTTGAGCTCCCTAAAACCCAACCTGAGGAAGAATGAAAAGACAGCCACCTGGCATGTTCCGCCTTCTGGGTTCTCTAGTGGGAACAAATGCAGCCAGACTGACACCGATAAAACTTCCCTACCTGACTGTAGTTGTATGCCCTCCTGCATGTATGCCTTACTACATTGGTAAGCACTGTGGAGAGATGGGATGTGAATTATCTCCCAGAAGAAAGGACACAAAAGGCTGAGCAAACTCTGATTAACTGCCCTGAGTTTGCCAGGCTGTGTCTCCTGGGCAAGGAAAAAAACAGGCCAACAGGGGCTGCCCAGCTCATTTTCAAAACAAGATCATTAAGAATATTTACTGAGATCCGAGAAAATGGCGACCAGCAGGAAGGTAGGGAGGGAGAGAGTGTGAGAGCGCAAGGAAGTGATAGAGGAGTGTGTGGACGTGTGTGGTGTGTGTGTATGAGCTAGGGACAGTTAGATTCTGCAGGTCTTCTAAGGGGCTGCTAAACCGGGCAGTCTTAGGCAGCGGAGTCCCGCTGCTCCCCGCGCGGACACTCCTGGGCGGCCAGCACAGGCTCAGCGACCACGCCATCTTTGGAAACAGAGCTGCTTGAGACTAGCATCCTGGCCTCAGCACCACCCAGTCTGATCGCAGACGCATACCAGGACCCTGCACCCACTGGGGACAGAGACCTGTGACCACAGCTACAGACCTGCGGACACCAAAAGTTCAGAGATCCCCGCTGCAGATCCGTGAGTAACAGAGCCCATCCCCCCTTCCCGCAGGCTCGCGGGCAGCGCCGAGTAACTAACTGTTAGACCCACCCCTTGCCGGGGCCTCAGTGCGGCAGGAACTTTGGCCTGGAAGTGCGCGAGCACCCTGGAACTGATCCTTTGTGCACTGCCGGCTTCGGAGCCCTGGGCTGGTTGCAAACCAAACGCGCGAGCACCAGGAACTGATCCTACGCCCACTGCGGGTTTTAAGACCCCGGGGGGGGGGAAAAAACGCGGCAAACGGAGTATTTTTTGCTTTGTTCCCCTCTCCCCGGGGCCCCTTTTTCTCGGGGGGGGGGGGGCACCC